TGTGTCAGTTTTTTTCTGTTATTTTAAATTTTACTTGGACCTTTACTTGTCGTATTGCTACTTTTACATTGAGAAACTGTTGAATTGTACCTTAATGTGTGTTGCAGCCGTTTGGTCTCCCTGTCCGAAGGCGAGCGCCACCCACAGTTTGAGTTGCTCCTTCTCGAGTGTTTCAGTCACTGCTGTTATCTTCCTCTCCAGCAGCAGCTCCTTCAGGCCGCTCTTCTGCTGCGCGTCCAGAATGGCCTCGGTCTGCTTCCTCTGCAGCTCGTCGTATTCCTTCTGAACCTGCAGGGACACACAGATCACACAACCAGACGCTCACAGTAATTCACATTTATCCAACTGAGTGAACCAATAAGGATGAGACGAATGGATGTGAGCGGTCGACCTGCTCGTGTTTCAGCTCCAGCTGCTGGTGCTTCAGGTTGAGCTCGCGTCTCTCGTGGAGGATCTGTGCACACAGTTTATTGCCACTCTGTTGGAGACATTATCACAAGTTATAGTTTCAGCTAATATTCCAGCGATTTTCCTCAGCACGTTCACTGTGATTTCACTGAGGTAAAGATGGTACAGTAAGAGCTGCACGTCAAATTTAAACCAGGGAGAAGCTCAACACCACTGGTTCCCAACATTTCTCCTTGAGGGCGAACTCAAGTACATTTTATTCATATTTCATATTATGTTCAATGCATGCACAATAACAGTAGAGAACAGCTAAGAAACTGTACAATGAACCCAAACAGCGAACAGGAAGTTTGTGTAAAACCAGACATTTGGATGAATCTCGAGCAGATTATGTCCTGTTAATATGTTATCGTTATGTATTAAATAAAATATGAAATATCCTTAAAATGTGTCACTTTCTGCAGAATAACTCTGTCAAAACTCCCTGAAATGAAGCAGAGCAGTGAACCTTCACACTCTTGGCCATGGCTTTCCTCTCGACGACCAGCTGTTGGCGGCTCCCGCACAGCTTTGCCCTCTGTTCCCGCAGAGACTCTCTGAGGCGCGTGTTCTTCTGCGCGGCTACTTCCAACCTCCTGTCCAGTCGCTTGTTCAGTTCCTTCCCAGCTACAACTCTCCCCTACCGCACGACAGCAAAAACAGAGCCATATCAGGGCAAGAAGCACCTGGGAAAAACAACCTGCTCTTCATTGAGTTTTATAGACCCTGAGTATCTAAGATAATACACACAGTGCATACTGAAAGTACATTAAAGTTATTAAAATCAATGCTTGACAACTAATTAGCTCTGCATTTTCTGATAAAATGTTTTGTTCATAGGTTTTTAAGGTTAGTGTGTATGTATTAGTGTGTGGTGTCAGACACAGGCACTCTTCATGATCGTTGTTTTCACATTCAGTGTTTTAATCCAAAGTTAAAGTTTGCCTCTACTGTTGGAGCAGCTGATAACAGCACAGCTTCAGAGACATCGTTGTTACATAGAAAGTGGAAACTAAACACGTATTGGGACAGCTTGTATTCAAATGCCACTGCAGTGATGAAGACTTGTTTACTTCTGATACGGATTCATGTACAGTCAGTCGGTTTAGAAATGTCTCGATCGGCCCTGATAATGACCTTTTGATTTGATTCCTGCTTCAAATAAGACCAAACGTTTTGTTTTCCTGACAGAATTCCCACCAATTCAGCTTCACAAAGAACATCTCTTACCTGCTGCCTCTGTATTTCAATGACATATCTTCTGTCTCTGATGATGTAGTTGATTTGTTCCCAGATCTTTGATTGCTCTTCAACAACAGTTTCGGTGCGTATTTTCATTCTCTCGTCAATCTTCTTGAACTCAATTTGTATTTCGTCGTTGTTCTCTCTAACCAGGATTTTCTTTTTGCTGTCATACTGTGCCTCCATTTCTATTTCAATAGCAAGAGAGAGAAACCTTCATTTACAGACAGATCAGAGTATTTTTTGACTTCAACTCCTTTTTTAGACTTTTTACCTCCGATTTTATTTTTGTAGCTCTCATGTAGTTTCTTTAATTCTTCATGTTGTTTCTGTTAAGAATAAAAAGGTGACAGGTTTTTGGTACAGACGTTTACTTGTAGAAACAAGCGACAACCACAGACTGGACTCATGCATTCTCACCTGCTTGAGCTTCTCCATGTAGATTTTGCCGTTGCACTCTTTCTCTCTCTTGTCCGTCTGTAAATTGCACATTTTCCTCTGAAGGTTGACGTCTGACTGCACATGCTCTTTCTGGGTCTTCGAAGCTGTGGCAATGGTGGCCATCTTCAACTCGCCGACCTCAACATGTTGTGTGGCCTCCAGTTGTCTCAGCTTCTCCTTGTGCTCCTGAAATTAATGAGCAAATCTTGTGGTCAGTTGTGAAATTCATCCACTGTTAAATATGATTTGAGTTTAGATTTATCCACCAAATTAGAGTTGGTGATTGTTGGAACAGTGGAAAGACCAATAAAGACGGTTTTGGTGAGTTTTATTCTGTTTCTGTGCACTTTTATTGAAGTTGCGATGTTATGTGGGTAAAATTATAATTTTTTTAAATGGAGTTTGGTGGAGAGAGATAGTGTAAAACAAAAAGGATCTAACTCTTTAACACAAGAGGCAAAGAGAAGAAGAAAGAAGCATACTTTGAATTAATTGTGAATAAATGGTGAATGAAAAGTTGTTTGGTTAAAATAAAGATGGTTTTATGTGAGTTTTAGTTTGTTTCGGTCCACAACCTCAAATGAGGATGATAAAAAACATGTAAAAGATTTCCTACAGACTTAAAAATAATCAGCTTGGAAGAATAATTTGATTGTTTGATGTTTATTCACAATATCCAATTACAAATTGCATTTACTCCTTTCCCCTGAGTATTTGGTTAATGCAAATGTTTTTATATTAAATAGTGCTGGAGGATTCAGGTTTCCACATCACACTTTTTTGTATAAATTGAATCTCAACTGTTCTTTATTTTATTGCATTTGGCTTCAACTATGATTGGAGTTTTCTTGGCAGTACAGGACAGCACTTGCTCACTAACAGTTATAATTTAAAGGTACCTCCAGTGGGTGTTCAGCATTTACTGGCTATATATACATATGGTAATACTTTAGGTTTAGGCGAACTGAGAGAGGGGCTAAAATACAATAAAACATTTCAGGGAGAAAATAAAGTGACTGGGACCTGTTGTAAAAGCCACTAAAACTGCACCTCCTTATTCCATAATCCTCCGATAATAACTCAGAACATGCATTAGTTTCTGATCACTGCTTTTAAACTGACTTCTAATACTTAGATCTCCGTTGTGTACTTACTGTACATATTGTGCTGTTTTAACTCTGTTTAACTGTCTTGTTTTTTTTGCATTGGCTGTTTGTATGTTTGACTTGCTGTATCAATTTGACTCCTGTCAGTGTAAATGAGAATTGGTTCTCAAATGACTTCTGGTTAAATAAATTAAAATAATTGAATAAGCAAAATTATTTTCAGGATATTTAGTCATTTAAATCCATTTCCAGGTGTTTCTAAGACTGGAAAACTATATATATGGCTGCCACCGAAGAAGAGGACCCCCTCTGTAGATAAACAGTTCATCCTAACAAAAACACGTTGCGTTTGTGTGAAAATTATATTCCATTTCTGCCAATAGCTCCTCCTAAATGTTGCACACTGAACCTTTAAAGCAGCAACAAGGAACTTTAATTTTGTGTTGACTCTGACGGCTCCTGTGGACAAACGAGGGAGTGTTTCCACCGCCTCCTTTCATCTGATGTAGAGGAAAACAGCTTTGTTTATGTAGGTCACATAGAGACTATTTTTATAATCAGTTAATAACTCCTTGTACTATGTTTAAGTAAAGGATCTGAGGACTTGCATAACGCATAGAAAGTCTGAAGTGTGTGTTTGTGAGAAGTTTACATCAAATTCTGCCTGGCAGCGTTTCTTGGCCTCCTGCTTCAACCTGAGCCTTTCTTTCATCCTGGCCTTGGTCTCCTCCAGGTTTCTCTTGGAGTTCTCCCAGGATCTTTGGGCCTTGTCCCTCTCCAGCTTAAAGTGCTTCTTCTGCTTCTGCACCCTCTCCACTTCCTCCTGGAGCAATACACATTCGTCCCACAGCTGCAGGTGACAGATGTTAGTGTCAGCGTGTGAGGTGGAGAATAAACAGACAGAGGGAAAGGATTCTCCAGGAGCAGTGGTTCCCAACCTGGGGGTCCTGACCCCCACTAGGAGTCGCAAGAGCTTCAGGTGATGCCTTTTAAAAACCTTATTATGTAAACTGTGATATGTACATTTTAAATTTAGAAGCACAGATTCAGTCACATGATCTTCAGAGATACGCAGAATATCCAACCTGTTCCAAAACTTTAATGACAATATGTTTTGTTCACATTATTGATATAACGTGAGTTTCTGTAACGGTTAACAGAAACTCATCAGCTCCTACCTCGTCTTTGCTCTTCTTTACCATCGGAGGCTCATTCATCACTGCCGAAGACTTTTCCTCAACCGCCTCCTGAGTACTTCCTTCAGTCTGGGTTGGATGGACAGACGGTACATTCATTTAAACTCAAGTAAAACCATGTTAGAGTCGGGACCCCCGACTACAGGTCACCAAAACTTTATGGGGACTTCTTGATTTTAAGGCGTGCTAGAAAACTTCACAGATATACACAGTAGGCCTGAATCTCAGTATGTGATTCACTTCTGGGAAGAAACGTGAAGGATAAGTAAATGTAAAGTAAATTGTCTAACAGAAAAATGGCCAAGTGCTACACTGAATTTCTCAAAATAGAAGCCTATTAAGTAAAATTATAAAAAATACATAATACAGGAAATGATCTGAAATATACAATATGTCTCTGAGTCAGTTTATTAAATGATAGAAAACGAGTTTGTGGAACCACTGATTTTGGTTGATACATTTAAGACATTTTAACTGGTTTAACGTATAATTTCTTTAGAAAAGGTTATTTTTTTCTAGTTAGCAACAGTCAGCCACACAGGTTAATTATCAGCTCTGACCTGAGACTTCGGCATCTCCTCATCCTTTGGCTGATTGTTCTTCTTCTCCTTCTTCTTGTTGGTCTTTGGTGGCTGAAAGTATAAAAGGTAAGAAATACCAGGCTTGGGGAGTAACAGATTACATATATATGTAATTTATTACAGTTACAGAATAAAAAAGATTTAGATTACAGTTACATTTAGTACAAATTGGATGTATTTAGCAGGATTACAATTTAATTTAATTTTAAGAGGACAAACACTGTTGATCTTTTCATTTCCCATTTTCTTTGGTTAACTTACATTACTCTGTTGTCTTATACTTCTTATTGATATTTCTTTTCTCTTGCTTTCATTTACACATTTGGTGTTGAGGTACTCCAAAAGCAACAGAAAGTAATCAAGTTACATTACTTTGTAAGCATTGTGATGCTTGGATTAAGTTACTCATTAACTACATTTATTAAGAGATACTGTAGCTAACGTTAATTAGTAACTGTGTCAGATTACAAACAAGCTGATTTTTTATGCTTGGTTATCATTCGCTACCTGGCAGGCTCACTGTCGTCTACAACATCATT